TGAGCAGTGAAGCACTTTCATGCAAAGTGCAGCAAGATTATTCAGGTTGGTTTGAAATGGTAAAAAAAAACAATGTCAACAACAAATGTCTTACATTTGAAATTCCTTATAGGACAATTTGAGCTCAGAAGGTTCTGTTAACATTCCTAGGAATTAAGGCCCCGGCTCCACGGGAACGCATACGGCAAAACACATCGGAGTAACGCAAACGCAAACGCAAAAACCTTCCGCCCACACGCAATATACACCGGATTGTGTCAAGCTCCACGAGACGGCTCCGTTTACATCCAACCGCTGGAAAAGCTGCACTACATATGCCGAGCCTGTACGTGGCGCTGTAACTTCCTCCACAAAAGCAGCAACTTCCTCCACAAAAGCAGCGAAGAAGAATGGTTGTCATGGCTGCACTTCTGTTTATTCTCCGTGGTGGGGGCCGACGGAACCGGGCAGAGTTTTTCGCCGGTCAGCGTGTGTTAAAGTTTAAATCTTCCGGACAAAATTATAAAAGTGCCGGTCAAAGGTCTTCTTTGTTATTTATTGAGCTTTAAAACAAATGAATAACGACGATATAATGATATATAATCATAAAATACACGGAGGCTGTCTCTTTTTCCTCCCTCTCTTCTCACAGCGTCAGTGTCTGTCTCATGCAGCAGCTGATCCTGTAATGATGACCCGACAGTAAAAATAAACATATTTATAACTAGTTTAGGTAGTTTGAGAGGTAATTAAAATAGCTAAGGGTGATGATCTGACTTGAAGTGTGTGTTTTGCTCCCGCTGCATCACAGCGGGAGGAGCTGCGTGTCTCCGTCCTGTCAGATTAGACTTCACTCGCGTTTATGTCCATATCGAGATAAAGATAAATAATCTGAATTCAGTGTGCAGTGTACTTTGCGGGGCTGAGCAGCAGAGGTGGGGAGAGGCGGGGCTATTGCGTCGTCACACGGCCCCGTTGGACCCCCCAGAGTGCTCCGTTCCCCGATCTATCCACCTTTGGACCCGTTGTCGTTTGCAGGGTCCGTTTCTACCGTTCCGTTACGGCGTCGTCTAGCTTAAAGGGCTATACGCAAGAGAAATGTGCGGATACAACCCGTTTTCGTTCCCGTGGAGCCTAGGCCTAAATCTGAGTGCTTGATAGCTGTGGGGGACTGTGGGGTCCCCTGTGGAGCGGTCACTCCTCATGGAAACACAGGATGGTTCAGGAGAATCTGCTCTTTCCTGCTCAGTTCTGAGAGCAATGGAGCGTTGAGAGAGAGGTGGAAGAATATGAAGCTCAATGACTGGAAAAAGATCTGTTTCAAACACTTTCACATTCACAATGACGGCTGGGTTTTTTGTTGTTGCTTGAATGCAGTCACACGTTCACACAATCCTGGTCTAAACCATTCTCTAGTTAGGTTCTTCTTAGATTAGAAGAATACTACACTATAGGTTTAATACAATGTACAATGCCACATTTTATATTTCATAAGCAAACAAGAAAAAAACCATTCCAGTAAAGTGATCTTGATTATTGTAATCATGTGGCGGGAAGAGAAACTGACACCATATTCTGCTAAATGTATGCAACAGTCACTTTTCTGAATCAGTCACATCTCAGAGATCTTCCTCTCACCTCTCATGTTCCTCAGACAGAGTGCTGCTGGAGGGCGGGACCCCCCCCTCTTCTTCCTCAGATTCACTCATGGTGCAAACAGGACCTGAAAACACATCAAACATGTTGTGTTAGCAGGAGTCATTACAAAGTTATGATTTAGGTTGGAATCAATCAGGACCATCAATTCCCTTGAGAAAATAAAGACGTGTATAAAACATATTAAATACAAAGAAGTATTCAGATCAGTTTCTACAATAGAAAAACAACAGATTTAAATAAAAAATAAAAACCTTGCCTTCGCATTTAAATTGTATTTATAAAACTATTCAGGTCGCTTTCTGAATACCTCAATAAGCCTTTAAGCCTTAAGGGTACCAAAAAATACAGATTAAAAATCCTGCCTAAAATATAAATTGTACCATTTCATTATTTGCGTGTGTGCGTGTGTGTGTGTGTTGCATGCATGTAGCAGCAACTTGTGTGTTAACGTAATTACGTAAGATCTCCTTATAAAACAAAATGTCCGACAAAGATAAACAACTTTTATAATATCACTAACTTTAATTCAGCTTCGGTTGTGGTAACAATGTACAACACAAAAACATCGCGACCAACCGTCACATTAACGGTTTATAAAGCCGTTAAAAAAACTTTAAGTTGTCTAGAACAATGAGGAAGTTTGTGCTAAGCTAACCAAGGCCTAGTATAGCTAGCATACACAGTTAAAGACATTTATAAACTAGATAGCATTCGAGGTAACGTTACAGCACGAGTAGTATTACATATATACATATTTAATATGTAGTGAGACTGAATCAAAGTGTTCAATAATATATGTTTATATGTCGAGGGTTAAATCCGCAGTTCATCTTACCTTTAGTGCGCGCAGTTATTTGCCAAAGTGAAAGTGAAAATCAACATGACTCAAAACATAAGGTGTGACACGTCAGTTGGAGGTTGGTTGTATAGAAAACACACGGATTACAGGGAGTCAGACATTAATAAAATGCGTTTCTGAAACCATTTTTAAATTAAAACCTCACTGTAAGAATATCAGTCTTCTTATGGACCATTCAGGCAGATAGAATTGATTTTCAGGCGGGTATAAAGTAACAAATAGAGGGGTTATTTGAAACGGGAGAGCCCAAAACTCTTCCGCCTGGTCCCGCACAGTACTCTGCTGTGATTGGCTCGTTGCGTCTATGCGCTGATTTGATTGGATGCTTCTTACCAGCTTTCCGTGCACATATAAGGACTTTGACACCATGCCTTGCTCTCTATGTGACAGCCAGGTATGTGAAAGAACAGTGCTGGACAAGTACACAGATGCTTTACTTGAGTAAAATAACAGAGTATTATAAGCAAACAACACAGTCTTTACAATCTACAATCGTAAATGAAGTATATAAAAGTGTATACAGTTGTTTTTACTAAATGTAAGAGATACCAGATAAATACACTATTATAGCTTTTATGAGTTTTCTTGTCTTTCTATAAGTCTCTACTGAAAAAGATGATTATATGTCTAAGTAATAATCCCTTGTAGCGCAGGCTCCAAATATCTGCCTATAGAGAATGTGGTTGTGTGTTGTTGTTGTTGTTGTTGTTGGTAAGGGATTTTATCTAAAAGTTGAATAGTTATATTATTAAACATGATCATTATCCGCCCTTGTTATGTCCAGTAATGTGTATTTAGAGTGTATAACTGACCTACTTTCTTTTATCTACAGGTGTAATTTCACAGTTTCACTTTTACTTGTGCCTGTGTAAAATATTCTAGTACTTTTCCATGATGTGTGAAGCCAGATGAAGCTGTGTGCTTAGGAATTCAGATGATAGACGAGACAGTTTTCTTTTCAAAATAAAAGAGCCTTCAGTAACATCAGTTCATATCATCATTTATTCATTTGATTTCATATATGCTCACACTCACTACCATTGAACTGTAACAATGTAACATATATATGAAAAGCTTCCTGTTTTCAAGCATCATCCATCATCCATCCATCCAGGTGTAAAGTAACTACAGATTTACTCAAGTACTGTACTTCAGTACAATTTTGAGATACTTGTACTTTACTTCAGCATTTCCATGTTTTGATACTTTGTACTTTTACTCCACTACATGTATTTAATACCTTTAGTTACTTTACAGATTTGGATTAATGATGCGAAATATAAACAACATTGTACTTTTACTTAAAGAAAATTTTGAATGCAGGACTTTTACTGTAACAGAGTATTCCTACACTCTGGTACTTCTACTTTTACTCAAGTACAAGATCTGAGTACTTCTACTTTTACTGAAGTACAAGATCTGAGTTCTTCTACTTTTACTGAAGTACAAGATCGGAGTACTTCTACTTTTACTAAAGTACAACATCTGAGTACTTCTACTTTTACTGAAGTGCAAGATCTGAGTACTTCTACTTTTACTGAAGTACAAGTTCTGAGTACTTCTACTTTTACTGAAGTACAAGATCTGAGTACTTCTACTTTTACTCAAGTACAGGATCTGAGTACTTCTACTTTTACTGAAGTACAAGATCTGAGTACTTCTACTTTTACTGAAGTACAAGATCTGAGTACTTCTACTTTTACTCAAGTACAGGATCTGAGTACTTCTACTTTTACTGAAGTACAAGATCTGAGTACTTCTACTTTTACTGAAGTACAAGATCTGAGTACTTCTACTTTTACTGAAGTACAAGATCTGAGTACTTCTACTTTTACTGAAGTACAAGTTCTGAGTACTTCTACTTTTACTGAAGTACAAGGTCTGAGTACTTCTACTTTTACTGAAGTACAAGATCTGAGTACTTCTACTTTTACTGAAGTACAAGGTCTGAGTACTTCTACTTTTACTGAAGTACAAGATCCGAGTACTTCTACTTTTACTGAAGTACAAGTTCTGAGTACTTCTACTTTTACTGAAGTACAAGATCTGAGTACTTCTACTTTTACTGAAGTACAAGATCTGAGTACTTCTACTTTTACTGAAGTACAAGTTCTTAGTACTTCTACTTTTACTGAAGTACAAGTTCTGAGTACTTCTACTTTTACTCAAGTACAGGATCTGAGTACTTCTACTTTTACTGAAGTACAAGATCTGAGTACTTCTCCCTTCCTGCAGTTATAGAAGTGTAAAAGCGCCACTAAGAAACCCTGATATGAACATCAACATTTTCCTTAAATAAATAAAGTTTTAAACACTGATCAAATAAATCGGTTTTATTTTAAACCTTAATTTATGGTTAATCTCTTATTTCCCCTGTTTTTCTGTCCACTCTATTGTGTAGGATTAAAAAAAATGATAAAACAAATGCACGTGTTGTGGCTTTGTATGAAAGCATCAGCTGAGTTTATGAAATGTAATGTAAGGATTCAATAAGAGCCAGAAATCAGATTTCTATGAGAGTTTTTATGAATGTCTTACATGTTCACACACATAGGCACAGAGGGTTATCATCATTGGTACAGACTGAGGTTACTTTATTGTTGCTAGTAGTTCAAATAAAAATATGCGTTAGTTATGAATGTGAAAAAGTGACATTTTAACCGTGTTTCTACAATGATTAAAACTATTACAACAAAAAGAGTCCATGCTGTTAATGTGAGGTTTCCCCGCTTCATATGTTCATGGTGACCTGGATGAACTGCAGAGAGACATGATGAGAGGTTTCCCCGCTTCATATGTTCATGGTGACCTGGATGAACTGCAGAGAGACATGATGAGAGGTTTCCCCGCTTCATATGTTCATGGTGACCTGGATGAACTGCAGAGAAACATGATGAGAGGTTTCCCCGCTTCATATGTTCATGGTGACCTGGATGAACTGCAGAGAGAGACATCTTTAATATCTAATACAACATTCACAGGAAACAGGAGGAGAAATACTTCATTCATCCCTCGGGAGAAACTAGATTTTGTATCAGTGGTTTCATTTTGGAATAGTATAGAATAGATGAGAGTAACACATGCGTCACTTCCGGGCAAAAAGTACGGCTCCGCCCACTTTTGGGGGAAAACAACGCTGTCATTTAAATGGCGGTCAATTCAAATTCTGAAGTTTTTGCCAATCCAATCAGAAATTTAAGAAAACCGTGGATTTTCTGATCTTCAAAGAGCCCGGTTACGATGGCCAGTCAGGCAAACAATTACATTAAATCATTGGAAATCGACGATCAATCTCAATCAATCGGGTGGTTAAATATAGCAGTAGGCGATCGATGTCCATAGATGAGAGTAACATCTACGTCACTTTACGGCCCCGCCCACTTTTGGGGAAACAACGCTGTCATTTGAACGGTGATCGAGCCTGAAGCCACAGAGCTCCTTTCTTCTTAGAGGAAGTTCAGAAACACTGAACTCTGGATTAGTTTTAATGTTTGAGGTGCAATAAACGGCACAGCAGCTTGTTGGCATGATACAACTATTATTTTCTGCCTCGCTCATGAGAGTAACAGCTGGCGAAATGACGGCCTCGCGTACTGATTTTAATTTAACCATATATCGAGCCCGATCGTCGATTTCAAATGATTGAATGTAATTGTTTGCCTGACTGGCCATCGTAACCGGGCGCTTTGAAGATCAGAAAATCCACGGTTTTCAAACATTTCTGATCGGATTGGCAAAAACTTCAGAATTTGTATTGACCGCCATTCAAATGACAGCGTTGTTTTCCCCCAAAACTTTTTGCCCGGAAGTGACGCAGGTGTTACTCTCATCTATAAAATATATAGTAAAATAAAAAAATAAAATAAATAATGAATATAAACATTGACAAGTTCAAATTCAAAAGACAAGGAAAATAGTGTGTGTGTGTGTGTGTGTGTGTGTGTGTGTGTGTGTGTGTGTGTGTGTGTGTGTGTGTGTGTGTGTGTGTGTGTGTGTGTGTGTGTGTGTGTGTGTGTGTGTGTGTGTGTGTGTGTGTGTGTGTGTGTGTGTGTGTGTGTGTGTGTGTGTGTGTGTGTGTGTGGTGTGTGTGTGTGTGTGTGTGTGTGTGTGTGTGTGTGTGTGTGTGTGTGTGTGTGTGTGTGTGTGTGTGTGTTACAGAATCACTATCATAACCCCTTGGCAGTGGGTGATCTGTGCAGCAGTGTAGTGTTTTGTTGTTGTCTACGTGGAACGTGCAACTTACAGAAGTTCTGAGTGGTGTTATGGTTTACTGTGGTCGCTTTCTGTTATGAGAAAGTTGTTTTGGTTTTGTCGTAAGTTTTACGATTAAAAAATTAAAATCTTGTGGCTTCACAAATCAGTTTCCTCTCTTTTTTCTCTCTCCCTGTTATTTCATATTTTGTTACTTCCCTTTGTACCCCTAGTCCAGGAGGGAACGTAACAAATCCAATAAATAAATAAAAACAAATAAATAAAATAAATAAAATAAATAATAAATAAATAAAAACAAATAAATAAAATAAATAATAATAATAAAACAAAATAATATATATAAACATAGAAAAGTTAAAGTAAAAAGGACAAAGAAAAGATTTAATAAGATACATAAAATAATAACAAATGAAATGGTTGACATACCTCGTCAAAATGAAACTCGGCTCTGCCCGTCCGGGTTGTGTCTCTCCTCTGGAACTGATCTGAAAAACACATGAAAGCACATTTAATTAACTTCATCATTACTCTCTCTGTTGACGATGAGCATTTCATCTTCACAACACCCAAGATAAGACACCTCTTTTTAACCGTTAGAGCCAATAGAATCGAGGGGGAGATCAATACGCTTATACAATTAATGTATTATTTAGGCTCCAGAACATCAGCAGGAGAGGACTCTTTAAAGTAGAGACACTACATACTGATATACACCTGAACCTCAGCAGGAGAGGACTCTTTAAAGTAGAGACACTACATACTGATATACACCTGAACATCAGCAGGAGAGGACTCTTTAAAGTAGAGACACTACATACTGATATACACCTGAACATCAGCAGGAGAGGACTCTTTAAAGTAGAGACACTACATACTGATATACACCTGAACATCAGCAGGAGAGGACTCTTTAAAGTAGAGACACTACATGCTGATATACACCTGAACATCAGCAGGAGAGGACTCTTTAAAGTAGAGACACTACATACTGATATACACCTGAACATCAGCAGGAGAGGACTCTTTAAAGTAGAGACACTACATACTGATATACACCTGAACATCAGCAGGAGAGGACTCTTTAAAGTAGAGACACTACATACTGATATACACCTGAACATCAGCAGGAGAGGACTCTTTAAAGACACTACATACTGATATACACCTGAACATCAGCAGGAGAGGACTCTTTAAAGTAGAGACACTACATACTGATATACACCTGAACATCAGCAGGAGAGGACTCTTTAAAGTAGAGACACTACATACTGATATACACCTGAACATCAGCAGGAGAGGACTCTTTAAAGTAGAGACACTACATACAATTAATGTATTATTTAGGCTCCAGAACCGCAGACCCTCTGATTGGTGGACGCTCACACTGCCTGCTGGGGATCAGTAATGTTTGGTATTTTATTTAAAAGCCATCTGCCTCAGACTCACCGGTCAGCGCGCGGAGTTTGATGCAGCAGCTCATGAAGTCGTCGAACCCGATTCTGCCCTGCACGCTGTAGCGGTTCATGATGATGCTCATTGCCTGAGGGCTCAGATTATAACCTGCATGGGAACATCATAGAGGACATTCATCATCATATTCACTTCAACCAAAAAGAAAAAAAGATGTTTGCACATTTCCGCACAATGCAAAAAACCAACTAATTAAAGGTCCACTATTATACCTTTTTTCATCAGTATATCACAGGTCTCAGATATATACAGAGCCTGTCTCTGATTGGCTGAAACACCAAACAGATCATTGCAGCGTCCCATAATCCCCTCTGTTTCAGCCCTGTTTCCAAAGTGCTGATTCTCTGTCTGTTACTTTAGATGAAAATAAGGAGCCCCTCCCCACGCCCCTCTGAGAGAGATTTGGTTAAAAAGAACTCAATGGTGCTCTAGGAGGAGATTCAGGTGATAAGGGGGGGGGTTACCTTGGTTGCTGATTGGCTAATGGTTACACAAGACAAAACATCATTATGACATCATAAAGTGGCCACAATCTGATCAGCTCATTTTCAGACAGGTTTTTATAGAAATGGATCAGGAGAAAGAGAGAGAATCTTTGTTCCTGAAACTTTCAGAGTCTCTTTCCACAGAGGGGACACATGTTGATGAAGAAGAGACGTGAAGAAGAGGGGACACATGTTGATGAAGAGACATGAAGAAGAGGGGACACATGTTGATGAAGAGACATGAAGAAGAGGGGACACATGTTGATGTAGAAGAGACATGAAGAAGAGGGGACACATGTTGATGTAGAGGAGACATGAAGAAGAGGGGACACATGTTGATGAAGAAGAGACATGAAGAAGAGGGGACACATGTTGATGTAGAAGAGACATGAAGAAGAGAGGACACATGTTGATGAAGAAGAGACATGAAGAAGAGGGGACACATGTTGATGTAGAAGAGACGTGAAGAAGAGGGGACACATGTTGATGTAGAAGAGACGTGAAGAAGAGGGGACACATGTTGATGAAGAGACATGAAGAAGAGGGGACACATGTTGATGTAGAAGAGACATGAAGAAGAGGGGACACATGTTGATGTAGAAGAGACATGAAGAAGAGGGGACACATGTTGATGTAGAAGAGACATGAAGAAGAGGGGACACATGCTGATGAAGAAGAGACATGAAGAAGAGGGGACACATGTTGATGTAGAAGAGACATGAAGAAGAGGGGACACATGCTGATGAAGAAGAGACATGAAGAAGAGAGGACACATGTTGATGAAGAAGAGACATGAAGAAGAGGGGACACATGTTGATGTAGAAGAGACATGAAGAAGAGGGGACACGTGTTGATGAAGAAGAGACATGAAGAAGAGGGGACACATGTTGATGTAGAAGAGACATGAAGAAGAGGGGACACATGTTGATGTAGAAGAGACATGAAGAAGAGGGGACACATGTTGATGTAGAAGAGACATGAAGAAGAGGGGACACATGGTGATGTAGAAGAGACATGAAGAAGAGGGGACACATGTTGATGTAGAAGAGACATGAAGAAGTGGATTTTGCATAATAGGTGACCTTTTTGAATAGTTTGATATTTACTTAATACTGTGTTCAGGTATGCAGCATTATACACCAGAGCAAATTCCTTTAACGTACTTGTCAATAATTCAGATTCTGATCTGAGATACTGTAAGCCCAGACGTCTCTGTTTGTACGGGTGGGTTTCTGAATCTTGATTATCTCACCAACCCTTGCACCGATCTGCTTCCTGTTTAGTGTGGGTGTTGCTAAGGACAAAGGGCAGGTTAATGCCAAACGTGAAGTTATTCGGATCAGAGGTTCTTTGGGGAAACTAAGAAAACTCAGTCTGCCTGGCCGGACTTTGGTTAGCGCCTGTGTTAAGCTGTAAATGTGCAAATCAACATGCATACAATAAGGACAGCTACGTTTCAAGCATTTCTGGCTTATTTAGTTACACAACATTTCCTGATCCTGGTAGTTTAAAAAAGTTTTGCAAGCTAATTAAAAGATCTGACATATCTAAATATCAAAAGTTCACTTGTTCTATCGGCAGATTTTTTTTATCTCATTACAAGTGGAAACACCTTGTTGTTATTATTCTTCTGGTATCAGTACTTTACTCCACTACTTATTTTTCTGACGACTTTTTACTTTGACTTCTTACATTTTGAACACAAATACCTGTACTTTCTACTTCTCACATTTTGAACCCAAATACCTGTACTTTCTACTTCTCACATTTTGAACCCAAATACCTGTACTTTCTACTTCTTACATGTTGAACCCAAATACCTGTACTTTCTACTTCTTACATGTTGAACCCAAATACCTGTACTTTCTACTTCTTACATGTTGAACCCAAATACCTGTACTTTCTACTTCTTACATGTTGAACCCAAATACCTGTACTTTCTACTTCTTACATGTTGAACACAAATACCTGTACTTTCTACTTCTTACATGTTGAACACAAATACCTGTACTTTCTACTTCTCACATGTTGAACACAAATACCTGTACTTTCTACTTCTCACATTTCCCAAACAGGCTGGTTCCTTTAGTTTGAATGTGTGTTTGGTGGCGTGATCATTATTATTTAGAGTCATTGCGTGCCTATTGATTTGAACACGATCCGTGTATCCATCATTTCCTGGTCTTCTCTAAAGAAGAGGGACCAATGAAAACGTTGTCATGTTGCCGTTGTTCAGCATGGAAACATTCATTAGCTAACAATGACATTATTGTTTTATTAATATAAAGGGAGGTCAGGTACTCTTTAAAACAGCTGCTAGTTATGGGTACTTTTTACTGAAGTACATTTCAAAGCCCTCTTTACTTTGACTTGAGTAAAGAAGTTTAGTCAGTACTTCTACTTTTACCAGTCTTTTTAAACACGAGTATCTGTACTTCTACTTGAGTAAAGGATGTGTGTAGGGGGGGGTTGTGTGTGTGTGTGTGTACCCATGGCGCTGAAGGCCTGCTGCAGCTCGTGTCCCTCCACCGTTCCACTGCGGTCGCGGTCGTACGAGGCGAACGTGTTCTTCCAGCCGTTCACCGACTGCCACAGCTCCTTGAACTCAGCAAAGCCCATACTGTTGGACATGTCCCTCTGAGGAGACCGTCAAGGACACATCACGTACTCTTACTGGCGGGTTTTTACCATGCACTTTACTCAAAAAGATCATTTTATCATCAGGACAAATGTCTGAAACTGCTCATACCAGAGGGAAAGGGGAATAACGACCAGATTAAACACTGTGTAGCTACAGTATGACTCAATAACATATAATGCACAATATATACACTCAACTCCCTAGTATACTATTACAGCTCGTCTAGTATTTCTGTTTTTTCAGGTGGGGAAATATGCAAGACGTGCACCAAATACTGGATAAAGAACGAAGTAATGGGGAGGTTTATAGTCAGTTAAACTTAGAAGTTGATTTATTCCCATTATGCATGCACTGCATTGTGGGATATAATGTCCATTTGATATGCATATTTACACACGTGAGAGGTATTAAAGCTTGCATATGAAACACTGAAGAATCAACAGTGAGCTAAGTTTATTTAAATTGTGCAACTCTTTTCCATGAAAGTAGCTAGCAGCAATAGCTCTATAAGTCTTCATGCTACAGATCAAATATTTTAGACAAAAGCGTCCAGCCTGCAGCATTTTGTGTTTGGCTCTTTGCTGTTTTCTAACATAACAATGCAAAAAGACCAAGCCAGTTTTCCCAGTTCGGTGTGGGAACACCAAGCCCCCGGGAAGTGCGCCGGACTCTGAGGAAAATATTCATTGTGTCCAAACGGCGGTACTACAACTTCCGTATCAGTCCGTAACGTCACTGGGCCCTGAGAGACTTTTCCCATTGACTAACATTGGGAAAGAGACGTCTGTAAATCAGAGGATATATTTTTTTTTTAACTAAATAAACTTCCCAGTATGAACTATTGTATAGCCCTTATTAGAATCATTCGGTCCTTAAAGTTGTAAAATGCACTAAAAGCCGAATCCAGATTTATTTTCTCTCTCCATTCATTCTACAGACCCGAGAGTGGGAGCTCGGGGGCGGGGCTTAAGGGGCGCATGCTCTGTGAGCGCACATACGGGTTCTTCTGCTCTGGCAGCCAGGCATGCTGGGTAATCTGTGACGTTTCGCTCTCTCAAAAGTTGGGCCATTTTGTCCTCATGAGCCAATGAGCAGCTCTCATAGGAAAGAACGAGACCCCGCCTCGCACGCTGTATCCAGTTCTTATTAAACATCCATGGGGAAAACCTTCAGTAAATACTCCACATTTCTCTACTTCCTGTTTATTTCCCACAGGCCCTGAAAGCTGCAGGCATTAAGCCACTGTTAAACAATCTGAACATGGCAATTATGAACAAAAACAAGCTCATTTTAAACCTCCAAATCTTCAGTTAAGTAATTGAACCACCAGACTCAGGGACAGTTTCATCCCACAGGCCATGAGACTGTTAAACACCTGCACTTTTGAAAGAACATCCACAACATTAATCTGGCTGCTACTTAGAAAATTATTTATCTAATATATCATATTCCAATCACTTGTATATAGACTCTTATTGCACTATTTCGGGCCTCATCACCGAGAGACTGTTGTTCAAATGTTACAGAGTGAGCATGCAAGCACAATACCAGATCAATCAAAGCAGCTCAATGAAAGTAAACCAAATGAATTGCATGATGGGCTTTTTCCTATTGAGAGAAGTCAAAATGTGTGGTGTGAGAAAGGCCTGAGGAAGGATACATCCAGCATGGTGATCATCAGTCTGCACGTCTCCAGGCAGAACGCTGCAGAAGGAAAAGTCAAAACTCAGAATGTAAAATATTATCCAAAATGCAGTGGGAAAGTGCATCGATGCCAACACTGAGACCATGTAAAAGGGTTAGCTTAGTAGGCAGTGACAACTTTGATAAGATCACTTTTTAAACATTACATCTCTTCATGAGTAAGGATCCTTTCAAAGATAAAGTAAAAAGGTGGTTTATTTAGGTATAAAATAAATAGAAACACATGCATTCATTAATTTAACACTCAGCCTTTTAAATATTAAAGTCTTAATTGAAAAAAACGATGTCATTACAGTGCAATTGTCTGACAACAGATACATATATTAATGTCAGTGACAGATGTCAGCTCTGTTGTGATTGGTCAACCGCTTAGAGATGTCCCGCCCCTTAGCCTATCAGGTACAATGTGTTGAAGCGCCAGCCAATAGGAGCGTGATTGTTCCAAACTGAATGTATTATAAATGTTCCCTCATGTCTTTAAACATTTGATTAATTGAATGTACAGATCAAATACTGCATTGTTATAAAAACCATAGCCACGATGTACAATTATATAAACCATGATATAAGATTTTCAGTCACGAAGAAGTGCCCTAATGTTTATAAGGTGGATTCGTCCACCGTTTATTTTACTATATTATTTTTTTATGTTATTATAGTTTTCTTAAAATAGTTTTCTATCTGTGTTTTTAATTCATGATTTACTTTTATGTATGCACCATGACATCTAGTCAAATTCCTCGTACGTGTCAACCTACCTGCTGATAAACCTGATTCTGAAAGGAGGCGTTATGGGATGCTTACTTTTGGTGAATTTAGAGGGAATTACTAGTCTACTTTTTTTGTCAGAATTAGATTATTTTATTCGAAATTTGACTTTTTTCCTTGATATTTGACTTTATTGTCAGAATTTTAAAAATGTACTCGAAATTTCGCTTATTACTCAGAATATGAATTTTTTAAGTATTTGACTTTTTTTCTACTTCAATGTAAATACTGCTATATTTTAACTTATTTTTGTAATGTTATTATAGTTGTGACGACCCCTCCACACCACTAGGCGTTCCGTGGTCTCTCTCTCTCCGTTTACAGGTGCCAGTGCTGTGGCCTGTGGCCTGATGAGCTGCACCTGGGTCGGGAAGCCTACAAGAGGAGAGCCAACCGGATTTGTTGGCTCGCTCTCATTCCTCTGGGCACTCTCTCCGTGCCAGCCTCGGGGAACCTGCTGCTGGCTTTTGTTCAGAGCCACACCGTAACATAGTTTTCTTAAAATAGTTTTCTATCTGTGTTTTTAATCTTTGTTTTACTTTCATGTATGCACCACGACACCTCGTACGTGTCAACCCACCTGGTAATAAACCTGATTCTGACTCTGTTTGATGCCTTCAATGCCACGCGTGGGCAACTGGGTAGCACTTTACAATAAGACTACCCTTATCAAGGGTTTCCGAATAGTTTGTAATTAATTTATTGATTAGGTTGTGAACACTTTATAAATCATTAATAAGCTTTTATAACACATGAGATAAACAGGGCGACTGTGACCGGTTGCTTGCAAAATAGTGAGCCCACATGTATCTGTACTGCTAAGTCTTATATTGGCTTCCTAGCTTACTTCGTCTCCTTCATCAGCCAGCATCCTTGGTATCTGTTGCTCACTGACTTGATGCTCGCTAAGTAGCATCAACTCAACTCGTAGCTCACTAATTCATAACCTAATTATAAACCCTTTATTAATCCTTTATAAGGGTAGTGTTATTGTAAAGTGGTACCAAACACTGTATACAATAGCATTACAATGAAATGTCCCGCATGGATATAATAATTATTAAAGAATAGATGTTCTTACGTTTGTAGGACCCAGCGATGCCGGACTGTGTGAGGCAGCGCTGCAGCTCGTCTGCTGAGATCTGTCCATCCTGTCGCAGATTCATAAGGAAAATAAATACACAATGAATAACAATCGACAGAGATAAGAGAAACTTCAATGATTGCTATGAAACTACTGATGTTCAGAGGCACTGTGGGGGGGTTACCTGTCCAGCTACAGCTGTGAAATATCCGTAGATTGGATCCTGCTGCAGAGAGGAAGACACAGAGAGAAGAAAGTGTTGGGGATCAGGAAGCACTTCATTGGTTTCTTATTATCTCACAGGGTTCCTGCAGGTTTCGCCAACTCAAATTTAAGACTTTTTAAGACCTTTTTAAGACCACTTCGAATAGAATTTAAGACCTATTTCACGGCAAGAAAGTATGAAGGAAAATTGCTATGAAAGAAGAAATACGTCCCATAATTACTTACAAATCAAATGTATTCATGTTCAACATAAGAACAATGTCTGAACATAACAGCATAACAGTACAGAACTGTGTTAGCCAAAAAGTGTGTATGTGTCTCTGTGTGTGCTTGTGTGTGTGTTAGGGCTGTGCAATTAATCGTATTTTAATCGCAATTACGATTTTGGCCTGCCACAATTACAAAAACATAATCGAAAAAACCTATTATTTAGCTTTGCTAGGTTGTGACAGTGCACTACGACATATTTGATCTAATTAATTTTAGTCTAATTTATTTTTATTTATCATATTTATATATGTTTAGTAGCTTGTGGAAGTGCGCTCCAAAATATTTGTTGATCTTGTTTATTGGTATTTATTATTTTGATATTATTTATTTAAATATATCATTTATTTAATTTATTTTTGTATTGGTTTTTCAGTTGAATTATACGTTCAGGGTAATCAACAGTTAAAAAGATACTGTTCAAATTATTATTTGTTTTAAAGTTCAATAAATGGATGTTTTCAAAGTCAATGAATAATCTTATTTAATAATCGTGATATCAATTATTGACCTAAATAATCGTGATTATGATTTTTGCCATAATCGAGCAGCCCTAGTGTGTGTGTGTGTGTGTGTGTGTGTGTGTGTGTGTGTGTGTGTGTGTGTGTGTGTGTGTGTGTGTGTGTGTGTGTGTGCGTGTGTGTGTGTGTGTGTGTGAGAGAGAGAGAGTAACAAGAGCTATATTCAGAGCTCTGCTGCCTTGGCTACAATCTTTCATCGTTGCTGTTGTATGATTGGTGTTTAACTACGGTATTTAGCGTATACACTACAGCACCTCCGCTTTTAGGGTTGACGTCGAAGACCCAAACGTCGCCCGGAGGTCCAACGGTGTTGTTGCGGGAGCTGCTGCACTAGCTAACGCTGCACTAGCTAACGCTACATTAGCCAAACAAACGCTAATTTATTTTGCAAAAGGTGCAGCAGGCTTCAAACACGTTCCCCTCCACTGGTTTCAACCAAGCACTAAATTCGATGTTTTCCAACCAAATACGGTTGAACTTACACTTCCCCATATTTATTTGTAAGTAGATTCGAAGAGACATGAGTTTCTGACTGCCGCTTGCTGAAGCTTGGTTGCTAGGTTACTAGCTGGGTGTTCTCCGTTAAGGGGCCGGGGGAAACAGAGTTAGTGATTACTGGTTCCATGTTGATTTATTTCAATACAAATTGTTGGGGGGAACTGAAAGGCTATTACCGTTACTTTGCAGCCCGGACATTTCCCCCAAAACACATTTTAGACGCGATCGCAACACAGAAGTACCTTTCAAATCCCATCATTTTTAAGACCTTCTAAATCATATTTAAGACCTTTCTTATTTTTTTGGTCATATTTAAGACCTTTTTAAGGCCTTAATTCAGATTATCAAATTTAAGACTTTTTAAGACTTTTTAAGACCCCGCGGGAACCCTGTCTCATTAGCTCTGAAGTGCACACCCCTGAAGGCACACTATAGCATACAGACCTCCATGTTTCTCTCTTTTTAAGCTGAATAACTCTTTAAAAAGCTTCTTGAATCAGCTGGAACAAGCATCGTCACACAGAGGAATAAACGGGGCAGTCTATAAAAAAAGTCTGAAAATGTCAAAGAAATATCTGAAAATGACATGAATTGTTTCTGGATTTACGTGAACAGCATAATGGGGAATATCATATGTTAATAATGTCCAAAAAGGAATGTTTATATTTGTACAGTTTGGTATTAGTACTTTTACTGAAGAAAGGGATCTTGTTCCACTGGTGGTTAACGAGAAACTTTTCGAGACTCACAATGCCAAAGTGTTTGAACATCTGACTGTTAAATAAAGCAACTTTAAATGAGGAAACAACATGCAGGAAGTTCATCGCTCTTCTGTAATCGTGTAATTTCCTGTTGACTAATTCGTCAGTTTGTGCAGCCTTTGAGTCCTTTACCTTTTTTTAAACATATTCAATGATTTCATATTTACTGCTTTTCCTTTGAATAATGTCGAGGTTTAGACTTAGTAAAACTTAGACTTGAGTAAAAGTAGAAGTACTCAGATCTTGTACTTGAGTAAAAGTAGAAGTACTCAGGTCTTGTACTTGAGTAAAAGTAGAAGTACTCAGGTCTTGTACTTGAGTAAAAGTAGAAGTACTCAGGTCTTGTACTTGAGTAAAAGTAAAATAAAAACAATAAATAATAATAATAATAATAATAATAATAATAATAAGAACAAAAATCAATACAAAAAATAAGAATAATATTAGTAATAATAATAACAATTTAAAAAAATGTTATTATTATTATTATTTTAATATCGTTGTAGTATATATACAAATAAAATATAACACATATTCACATTTTATGAAGAATAAATAAATATAGTTCATTCTAAGAAGAAGGACAAATATAATAATATTAATAATAATAATATAAATGTATACAAATATTTGATTGCATGACTTTTAGTGATATTTCTTCCACCATTGCTAACATGTGGAAACAATTAAAACACGCCTTTTACTTCAAGTGTACTCAACAGCAAATTCTCTATCATATATATATATATATATATATATGCACTTTCCCCCCACCGTTAACTGATGAAAAGCAGGTAGGTATAACCTTTAAACAGGTTGAGCAGCATCAGCAGCTTTAATTAATTAAATAATAATTAATGTCAAATAAACAGGTATTTTCAGTCAACTCGAGCCACTTCCGGGCTGTCTCGGGACAGCGGGCACATATTCTGCTTTAAGCGTGGCTTTAATCCAGATAACACATCACATTGTAACGCTTTCTTACCGCCATGCCACCGGGGGGTGCTCCGTATCCTGGGAAAGCCATAGTTAAATATAGAGTGAAAAACAGATAACAGGAATAAACAGTGAGAAAATGCTCGGTTTCCCCTCCTTCACTTCAGAGGGTGTGTCTGCAGAAACACACACACCAAAAACTGAGAGTATTTCAGAAGAGCCTGGAGCATTAAAAGCGTGGTTTTAAGCAAATATATGGGTAATCCGATAAGTAATCCAACCGGGCGAGGTGCGACCAAAAGAATGTGAAGATGTTTGGTGATTAAATGTCCTGTTTCCTCACTGCTGGAAGCCGATTGGCTGTGGATGACCATGTGACTGGACGACCAATCAGAGCACAGCACTGGCTACAAAAGCGTTTTACAACAATGAAAACACTGATCAGCAGTATGCAGACACAGTAGGCTATTCAGATACTTTACTTCAATACAAACACTATTGCCACATTGGACTTTGATTAAAGGAGATGTCTTATATTAAAAATGTTAGATCTGTAAAGTATGTAGTCAGGAAAAGGTTGTAAAGTATTTAAACTATCCCAGGCTGTGACTGTTTATTATTTGTTAAATGTAACTAATTTAATAATGTAAAAGCAGGATTTTAGAAGACAGTTCTTATTAAAGGTCCTGTTTCCTCAATACTGGAAGCTGACCGACCAATCAGAGCACAGCGCTGGCTACAAAAGCGTTTTACAATAATGTAAAAACAATGTAATAAACACTGATCAGACATGCACAGACAGTATTCAGATACTTTACTTCAGTACAAGTACTATTACCACATTGGACTTTGATTAAAGGAGATGTCTTATATTAACAATGTTAGATCTGTAAAGTATGTAATCAGGAAAATGTTGTAAAATAATAAAACTATAACAATGTCCCAGGCTGTGACTGTTAAAATTATTATTTGTTCAATTTAACTCATGTAATAATGTAAAAGCAGGATTTTAGTAGAAAGTTCTTATTAAATGTCCTGTTTCCTCATTGCTGGAAGCTGATTGGCTGTGGATGACCATGTGACCTCTGACCGACCAATAAGATCACAGCGTTGGCTACAACAATGTGTAATAAACACTGATCAGACATGCACTACAGTATCACAGTAAGTTATCAGGAAAATGTTTTACTGTGAGTGTTAAAATGATTATTTATTAGTTTAATTTAACTTGTGTAATAATGTAAAAGCAGGATTTTAGTGTTGTAATCATAGACTGTATATATAAAAGTTGAAAGCACATTTTGAACTTTTAAAGGGGCACTATTCTACTCACTTTCAGAGCTCATATGTGTATTTTGCTCCTCTCTACTGTGACATGTTTCCACGCTTTAATGTTCATCTAACATCCTACAGGGAAGGGAATACCCCAAAAGGCAGATTAAGACCCCTTTAACTGATGATTATATTCCCTCCTTACCTTTAAATGTAATGTAATCAAACACTGGAATACTCTTCCGGTGCAAACAAATGTATATTGTTTGAAATATTAAGCAACCAGTCATTTATTACGCTGTAATCTGAGTTTTTCAATTTTAACTTGTTTGTGTGATAGAGATTATGCAATGTTTTTAGTGTTTGTTGATTGTTATGTACAGGGACGTGCACAGACATTTGGAGGGGCTATTGCTCTAAACTGGAAAAGCCCCCCCCCCCCCGAAAAAAAACATAAGACCTTTTGAAAATTCTAACTTGTTTTTAATGTAAAAGTTTCATGAAATAAAAACACAACACTGTCATTGCAAGTGACACTCAGTTGACTTTTATGTCCAACTGCTAAATGTGTTATTCAGTCTGTGTTCAGTTCAGCCTCTCAAATGCGCTCTGAACTGGAGGCTTGGGGTTAGCCCCCAACAGAAAATATGAACTTCACTCAGCACAGATACAGGCTTTGCATTTATCACTGATTTAAATGTTTGTATTAATAAGTTATTAGTTTACTCCAATGTATGTAGTTGCTTGACATAATCACAGCGCTTCACCTGCAGCTGCCCTGCTGGCTCCTTTTATCCAGCTCTGCAAAGTTGCAGTCCTTTTAGCTGCCTCTCTCTCTCTGCTTCAGTCTCCTCTGTCTTGAAGGCATTCTTAAGCACAGAAATGTAACAGTAGGCTATGCAACAAAAAAAAACGATTATTACATTAACTAATTTGAACAGTAATTCACATCATCATCTCATAACAAAATAAGGCGACTACTTGGTCGAAGGTGACTTGATTTTTCAAATGAAAACCAGGGACATCTTTTGTTTTGCAGTCCATATCTCAGAAAAATATGTTAGTAACTATTAAAGAAAGAATGGGGACAATTCTGTTTTAATGTAGTTTGACCTTTGTCACTGCTGTGCAGACATACTGATAAAATAGGGCCTCTAACAAATTACCTTAAATAAACTCACTAATGAATGAAACCAGTTTAATATGCATTATTCTTATTCTTATCATTCTTTATGAGCGCAGTGACGGGAAGGTATCTAGTAATTACTTATTTATCTAGTATTTCATAACTTAATAACAGAGATGGTCAAACTGAAGTGGAGACATGGCAGAAATCCTACAATGAAGCGGGAAGTGAAATGTTCTCCTGAGAGAGGGCGATCAAGAAAAGAGAGAGAGGGTGAGGGAGCTTACGGAGCAGATGAAAAGACACAGAAAGACAGAAGCACAATAACAAGTATATTTAGGTGTTGTAAATAGCGACGGTGTCAAGAGGAAGTAAAGTCCCCTGGTGTGTCCCCTACTCTAACTGCAATGAGAAAACAAAAATAATAATGTTTTACAAAATCCTGCTCTTAAAGGTCCCATGTCATGACCATTTCTACTGATCATAATTCCATTGTTGAGGTCTACTAGAATAGATTTAAATTGTTCAATGTTCCAAAATCACATTGGTTTCTCATACAGCATCTCTGTATAGTATGTGTATTCACTCTCTGTCCTAAACGGCTTGTTGGAGCTCCTGCCCCCCCCCCCTCATGAGCCCAGTGTGCTCTGATTGGTCGGGACGTTGCGAGGCTCACCGTTGCGAGCTGCTGCGAGGAGCGGACAGGTTTCCGGGTCGGCGATACAGCGAGAACAAGCTAAACTCATCCTGAGCACACACAAACACTCACAGCCGAAGTAAAAACAATAAGTGTTGCTTGATACTGAGTACGAAAAAGGTTTATAACGCTGTGAGAATGGGTCTGCGGAGAGCATTTCTCCGCCATCCCAACTCGTCTATTACCAGCGTTCAGGGAGCTCTATGCAAGTCAATGGGGACTCCCTGTTAGTTAGCCAAGGGATCCTGGTGTGTGAGGTGCTCCGTGGATTGGTCCATTTGGGTCAATCCGGTCATTTGTTGTTGATTTGGGTGTTCACACGTCACAGAACCCAGGAAGTTCTGGCTCTCATCATGCTGCTTCCCTGAAGGCTCCCACAGGATTGTTGTTGACATCCTCGTGGATTCATCTTCTTATTATAGACACATGCATTTCCAAACATTTGGTCTACCTACCAACGCTGTAAAATGTATTATCTCTTCGATTTACACACGGCATCTATTGCACGTCTGTCCGTCCTGGGAGAGGGATCCCTCCTCTGTTGCTCTCCCCGAGGTTTCTCCCATGTTCCTTTAATCTGTGGGTTTTCTCTGGAAGTTTTTCCTTGTACGATGTGAGGGTCTAAGGACAGAGGGTCTAAGGACAGAGGGTCTAAGGACAGAGGGTGTCGTTTTCTCATACTGATATTCTGCACAAACTGTGCTGTTGTATTAGCTGTAAAATGTCTTTACTGTAGGGTATTTTTATTATTTGTACAGCACTTTGGCTCGACCAAAAATCGTTTATAAATGTGCTATATAAATAAAACTTCATTTGATTTGATTTGAAGTAAACAATGGAAAATGAGAAATCTCGAACTGGGCGTTCTGGGGCAGCATAGACAGGTCTTCTCTGTGTTAGAGTTTTACTCGCTACAGGGTGTACTTTGAGGGTTTGTGACTCTGCAGACCGTTTACATGCAGAACAACCTTCATAACACACAAGGGGACGGGTAATAACCAGAAAAGCATGACATGGGACCTTTAAAAGCATATTTAAAAACGGGGACATTTCCGGGGACAGATTGACCCGGGGATTGGGCACCAAAGCCAGGCAGGCATTTGGTATGATCACCATAGCCATATGAGGCCGGACTCGGAGGGCTTTCCTTTTTGGTAAATTCTGCCATGTTCATATAAATAAATAAATAAAAACACACATTACATCATAAGCAGAGAGAATGTGTCCAATCAGCTTGTTGTTCTCCCTGTGACTCGTACGGAAGCTCCCGCTGCGTCCAGAGAGTAAACACCATCTGTGGCTCTGAGTTTGGTGTCAGAGGAAATCTACTGCAGACTCATTTGAACTCCTCTTGAAGATGTCCGGGCTGAATCCTGACTTCTGGGTGTTGTTGCCTCGACCTCCTCTCTGTGTCCTTCCTCCACACTCAACCATGATGAACCACCACGAAGAGGAGGAAGAGGAGGAAGAGGAGGAAGATCATCCTGCTGTTTGCTGCTACACTACAGGTAAGGCAAGGCAAGTTTATTTATACTGCACCTTTCAACACAGGGCCATTCAAAGTGCTTCAAGACATTAAGAGCATTAAGAAACATATTATGAAATGGCATTTGAAAACACTCATTTCAAAGCAAAGATATAAGGTAGGTAAAACAAACATTAAAATATTCACTTTTTGCAGTTACAATGTTTGCTGAGTCCAGACCCTTGACATCTTTACTAAGACAGGAATGATTTTAACATGAAGAATTATTATTATTTTCCAATTAGGACGGATTTTCGGTCAATTGACAGACAAACAGGTGCCTTGGTGATACTTACAGATTTGTATAATTTATTCAGTGTTTAATACAAGTCAAAGTCCTATTAAGACTGCCTTAGACCCTCATCATTGAGTTGACTACAAATGACTGGAATAATCTCATCTCATGACGAAATTAACCTTTTAATTTGAATCCTTCTGAGAGATGTGTGTGGTTGTTTCTGATCCTGTTAGTGTGTGTGATGACTGAGTTCATCATTCATCATTAAAAAAAAGAGATATCCTGATTTGTATGGAGCTATTTCAGGGTCATAAGTTTTGATCATTAAAAAAAATACAATTTATTTGAAAGTTCAAGTTTTTATCCTGAACTTTGAAAAATACAATGATGTATTCAAAATAAAAACAAGTATTTGAAATCATTTTTCAGGTTGAATATTATTTTTATTCAGTTCAGCAATTTTTTTGAATAAAATATTTATTTTCAGATTTCACTTTTATACAT